TAGGGCTGCTAGCTACCTACAGAAGAGATGGGTGATCGACGAGAAGATCAAGTCTGAGGTTCCCTGCCTCAGACCCCCTACTATTTATACAATTACAACGGTGCACAGACCAGGTACCTATTTGTCCCTGCTTGGTCAGAGTCTGCTGACTCGTGTCCTGTCTCCTGACCTGTCACATGGTGTCCTCATGACTAACACCTGAGTCATGCCAAGTCCGGACTCCTGCTCATGAGTAAGCGCCCCCTGCTGGCATGTAGGTCACCTGTCCGTGAGTGAAGATGGGCGCTCCCGGACCCCTCAAGGCCCTGGGTTCGATCCTGGCTCCTCCACTTTCCGATACGAGTTGTCCGTGGTCGAGGTGAGCGTCTGTCCTGGTTCACATGACCCCCAGGTCACGTGGCATGAGAAAACTGTGACAGCTGTGCAACTTCGCAACTTGGGGAGTTATCTGCCGTTGCACAGCGCTGCTCAGCCTAGTTCGTCAGCCAGAGATACACCTCGAACATGTGGTTGACGTTGTCCCCACGCTCGGATGTGACTCCCAGCCCTTCCTGCACAGAGGCCAGCAAGCGCCTCCATGTATGTCCCATCCTCTCCGTTGTCCCTTCACTCTCCCTGTCTCACCGTACCCTGCTCCCACGCTACCGCTGCATTGGCACCCAACCCGTCCACCTCCCTCCTGGGCCACGCAACGCCCCTCCTCCACACCTCAGTCTTCAAGACCGCGCAGTACTTCCCGCTCCGTGCGTCTTGCGCTCGGTGTTGCCCTTGACCCTGCCAGCGCCTGCGAACGCAGCAATCGAGACAGTGAAGAGGGCGGAGGACAGCGTGCGTGGGTCATCAGCAAAACCAAGGGCGTGTGGCATGAGGATATCCGAGTTAGGAAGATGGTCCCATGTATTTTTGTATTGTAGTCATTTTAATTCATATCATTTTTCGCATACAATCCTGAGCGATATTGTGTCGGATTTACGGGTGGTGTGCCTGCTACAGACTCCCATTGCCAAACTACTACTTGGCCAGGTGTATGATGCTAATGGCAATGGAACACCCTACTCACATTGGAATTCCTGACCGGTCATGCCTATGTGTTCCAGTGCAATCTGATGAGTTACAATGACGGTTCTATATACTACAGTGATCACAAATATTAAGCTCTCATATCTAACACCAATGCAACAATCATCTCGCCAAGACTAGCATTATGATGAAATCCTATGCAAGCACTCCTTACATTGCCAATACAAACCGCGTTGCAACGATTGGACATTTTTGCTGATGGGGAGAAAAGTACATGCCATATTGAGTTGTTGCATGCCAATTTATTCCAATTCTTATGTTGAGTCAGACAAATAACTAGCTTAATCGACGTACCCATCCAAATAGTACTCGAGCTCCGCCATATCTCACCATGACGAAATGCCAGGCCGATGCTATATGCACTTACCGGGGGAACCCTCCCGCAATGCATCCCAATCGGCTCAACTCCTCCTGCCTGTCTCCACAGTGTACATTGTCTGGAGTTCGATTTGTCACACATCTAGATCGTGTAACTAGACATTCAAAGTGTGGAGTCTCAGGATGGGCAAATGTCTTGCAATGTCACCGGCCACCGCAGCTCCATCCTCTGCCTGAAGTTTGACCATGACTGGGATATCTTGTACGACGATGGGGTGGAACGTGTGGATGAGCGCGCGCCACGCAAGGGGTTTGTCGCGGAGACTAGGCGCGACGGCCCGAGGCTCAGCGATCGGCGCCAAGTCGAGCATAGCGTAAGACTGAGGACGTAGGAGGAGAGGGAGAGAGAGGGAATATACAAGGCAGAGGGCGGGCAACGGTGCGGACAGAGGGGTCTCGCACGGTACGACACCGACGTACCAGGGAACCGAACCAAGGGTCAAAAGGGCCAGGGCGGCACGGAGGCACAAACCTACCAGCAAGACGTAGCGGCACGCAGGCACAGGCTAGTCCCCAATGACGTAAGTATATTGACAAGTACGAAGATACAGCTAGTAACTCACCTAGTCCCCAATGACGTAAGAGGTCGAGATGGGGACTAGGGGCTAAAGGGCTCTACTCTATATACCTGTAGACCGGTGCACAGACCATGTAGCTATTTGTACGTGTTTGGCACGACCAGAGGCTTGAGGGCTTAAGTACTAGGCACGAGTCAGAGGGGTGTAGTGTCGTACTAACTACTGTGGGGTGATCCTTATCTAATCTAACGATCGTGAGGCCATGAGGGAGGGAGCGTGGTGGCAGTGCATTGCCGGGGGTATGTAGACGCTTAGACAGAGCGCCAGGAACCTGGATGCCGACGTGAGGCTGCACGTGGCGAACATCGTGGTGCTGCTGGAAAAGGGTG